CCTTTTTTTTTTTTTTTTTTTTTTTTTTTTTTTTTTCAATTTTCACTTCAAACTATGACGCAGTTTGTAAAAATCTGGAGGCTGCACTGATGATTCCCACTTCAACTCGTATCGGATTCTCTGTTTTTGCTTGGGGCTAAGGGATGAAACACAGACTGCAAACCTACGTCTTCCCTATAATGTGTAATTTTCAACCATCTTCCTAGGCACATGTTTTAATAGTTTTCTCCTAAAATACAAATGAAAAAAAAAAAAAACCCCTCAAACGAATTCAAGGAAATTCAGAGAAAAAAACCACTCATCAACAGCAAATTCTTGTCAGCAGCAGCAACAGAAAATTCTCGTCAAGGTACTATCTCTTAAATTTGAAATTCTCCGGTACACCTATATTTCTTTTATTGACCATTCCTCGATTAGAAGCTCCTCTATCACCATATTTATCACTTTTTATTTCTTTTGCAGCTGCGTCTGGTGTGTGAATAAACCCCAGCAACATCACTAACATCGAACCCAATATCTCTTATCCAAATAACCACAATAATTTCTCATCAATCATTTGAACGGCAAAAAAAAAAAAAAAACAACACAAGACTTTTCCTCCCTTACCTCCTACCGGTGATTGAGCCTGGCTTTGCATTTCCGCATCCTCAACTTCGAGCTCTGCCAACGGGGCAACTCCATGATATTTGCCACTAACCGCTGCTCCATTCTTTTTGGTATGCAAAAATTCCTCGACTCCCGGATATATAAATGTTGACAGTACCTACACAAAAAAAAAGCATCATGTTGAACAACATTTTACCAAAAAAGCAGTGCACTTTTTTGTAAAAATTTTTTGTTCTTTACTCAATCTTCCATGTATTGCTGCTACCAAAAACGCTATATTTCTCAAATTTACTCATAAGATTCAAAAGTAAACGCTCGGTCCTGACCAGTCAATAATTAGGATGCCTAGAATTATCAGCCAACGGCATCGCTGCACCATTCATGAAGCGCACAAAAAAGTATTCCCAAAACCACCATTTGCTACCGAACGAAGCCGTGACTAACAGAACCACAGCG